GGCACGATCGCAAACAGAATCACGAAATTATTCGTCTTCCCTGTTGGAGATTGACAGACTGAGTCTGATGAATGATTCAATTACATTACAGGGACTCGATATTCATACCGCATGAGCAAGTTACTGGTAATTCAACTGAAACACTTATTGCTCCAAACCCTCTGTCACAATATAATATCAAATTATAGCCCTGTGGAATTCTTGCCAGTGGGGTCTGAGGTTTTAACTAAACACATACAAGAATATGTTCCGAAGTTGGTCAACACTGGAATATTGGTGAATGTCTTACTCCTGTCGCTAAACCCTTTAGACATGTTGACTCCTGACACCCCAGGTCACACAATCAGACCTTTATTAAACGATCCCTGGTCCCTAACGGAATTGCTTTCCTTAATTTGTCTGTCAAGAACTCCGAGATCAGTTTAACTATCAGGCTTCATTGTGGTATTCATTGACGAGAGATGTAAATTACCTCTGGACACAGAAAGGTATGCGTGAAAGTTGCAAATCGATTCCATTGTTAAAGTCTTCTAGGTTCACCAGTGATCAATTGTGTCTGAAGATTTATACTTGTCAGCCCCGAGGAAGTAAACCATTCACCCACCAAACACAGTCGGACTGATGTAGCCCATGGGAGCAATTACACTGAGTTATATTAAAAATCGTCACTCATGAAGGTAACTCGCATCTGGCAGGATTACTGGGGTAATTTAGTAACTGTAATCTGTCACAACTGAGATTTCCATGTCCAACTTCATGTGTTTGGAGAAATTCGGAATTGTATTATGAATAACGTTTTCAGACACGTTCCATTTCTGATGTATTGATGTTTGAATATACCTATGTAGGAGTATACATATCAACAACTGCCATTACTGGTGCATTGTATCACGATCTAAAGCTTTGGTTCATTTTGCCGTCTGAATGAAAGGTTTGAATGAATTGTATGGAGGCATTCAATAATTTACGAATGAAGCAATGTTTTGCCATCTTTAGTATAGTACAGATATTAAATTTTTGTTGAATATTGAAACTAGGTAATATATCATAATACTGGACTCGAACTGGACATTATGCACTTGACGTTAATGAGTGGACATTAACATTAACGTAAATGTACATGCACTGTTATTTTTCACCAACACCTGATGTCATCGCTGCTTTCCAGTGGTCCTCTCGTTTGGCATTTGGGGCGGTGGGGTAGCCTAGTGGTTAAAGCGTTGGCTCGTCACGCCGAATACCCAGGTTCGATTCCCCACATGGGGACAATGTGTGAAGCCCGTTTCGGATGTCCCCCGCCGTGATATTGCCGGAATATTGCTAAAAGCGGCGTAAAACCATACTCACTCACTCACTCGTTTGGCATTTTATCCGGTAACCTTTAACAATCAGTAACTGTTTCTTCATAGGTCACATTGAAAGATGTAATAATTACGTATAACAAGGCACTGTGATGTCATGTGATTTATATGGCGTTTCCAAAGACATGTTATCCCTCATACTAATGATGCCACTTTGTGTTGATGTCAACATCTCAACGGCCATAGTCCTTCATGTGGATGTGCTGATTTAGGATTTACTGGTCACACCTTACAATATTGCGTTAAGCCTTATTGTCCACATGGGCTAACATGTATGAACAACGTGCATACAGTATATCGATCCAATAATTATGGAGGTATTGCTAAGAATGGGCTACCTCGTTGTACTGACGCTCCTTCTGTCCATGCTTAAAGGGTTCAATGAACCAAGTAAATAATCATGTTAAAGCAGAACATGGTTCGATTTTCGATTTTGATGCTTCCTGGGCCCCGCCCACCTGCATCCACCGCCACAATAATGCTAGAATAGTGCTAGAAAGCCGCGTAAAGTCCAAATCACTCATTTTCCGAGACACTTTTGGAGGGGACGCCGTATTGCTGTACTAGGACTAAACGTTTCCATTGCCAGTTATGCTTTCACACTACGACTATTTTGTGATGTTTATAAGTGCTCTCTGATTTGACACAATATTTATCATCAACTGGCATGATTGAATGTTGCTCCTATCACTTACTACTAGAAAAAGATATCAACGAAAAGCGGCATACACTGTTCATCTCAACCAATTTAAATGTTTTAAGTGAAGATAACTAAGCGTATTGCAATCAGCAGAGATTTCTTGTGATTAGGAAATTAGTTTTATCGCAATAATCCACCACCCTAAACTAGGGAGCGAATACAAACACTGCTTTATTCCTGCTGAATGGCGGTGATTTATGAATAATCGAGTATGGAACACTCAATCACGGGACATGTACCGCCATGAGCGGGTATTAGTACCTGGAGGTAGCGCTATATAAATACCCACATTATTTATGTTTGACAGATTAAAGAAAGTATGCAGCAGAGAGGGTTCGGGTGATCCTGGCACAGTCAGGCTGGTAAGGCTCATCATCAGCTCAGGACCCTTGCCCCCTCTACATGCAGCCCAGACAGCGAATGGGACTTCTCCCAGGAAACACTGCCTAGTCGAACCCACCAAGAACTTTCGGAGAATATGAAGACTCCCCAACACTGCAGCCTTCTGCATTACCCAGATTGTCAGAAGGGCTGTGCTCCCGGTGGAGAACCCGGGCACTCTCCTGATCTGCGCTAAGAGATCAGGAGGTACCAAACAAAGGGCACCGAAAACAATGGGGAGTCTGACGACAGTATATTTGGGATGCAAGCGAGCCATTTCAAAGGCAAGGTCCGCATATTTATCATGCCTTTCCTGAATCTTGCCAATCACATTGCTGTCAAAAGGGACAGAAAATTCAATGGTATAAATAAATTCATTAGCTTTATCGAAAAGGACAAGATCAGGTTTGTTGGCTGGAATTCTTCTGAGGCTGTATATAGGCCTATTCCACAGAAGTTTAAAAGCATAATTTTCCATGACGCCCTGGACATGTTCAGGGTCGTACCATGGATGGACCTCGGAGTCAAAGCCACAGGCATGGCGGAGACGGTAATAAAAGCAGCGAGCCACGCTATCATGTATTTTAAGATATACTGTTTGTGCCAAGGAAGGGCATCCACTGACAAGGTGTTGGACAGTCTCTGTGAATGTATTACACAATCGACATTTCATATTGATAATTTCTTTAAGAATCACACATTGGTGATTGCGAGTGGGAAGTGACTGGTCCTGAGCACCAAAATGGAAGCCCCAATTTCACATTTCAGACCAGCCGTCTTCATCCAGGCGAAGGAGTCGGTGGGATTGCTATTCTGTTCCACACACTGCATGTACACACGATTCAATGGTTCCTCAGAAAGCTTCTCCACAAATGACCGACTCTGGGCAGACTTGGTGAAGGACTTTACCTGGTTTACTCCCATCGCTGTACCGTCCAGCAGTACATTGCCATCAGCAAAACCAACCTCAAATTTCAGATTCTGTCCAACAACCTTGGCACGCTTAAAATAGCTGTGGAATTCTTTGCTTTCACCTTAAGTCTTGACATACATCACCAGAGGATCATCCGATAAATAAATATGTGCAAAAGCACACAATAAAATTCTATCATGAAGAGCCGCCACATTAATCAAACCCCGACCTCCAGAATTGACTGGCATGTATAAACGATTGAGAGAGGAACGAGGGTGGTGGGAACTGTTATCAGACATGATCCTTCTGGTCAGGCGGTCTCTGGATGTCTTGTTTTGTCCAATCAACTACTCCAAAGGAATAGGAGAGGACTGGCACAGCAAAAGTATTGGTGGCTTTGACCTTGTTTCGAGCATTAAGCTCTGAGCTCCAGATTTCCTTTAAGCGAGATTTGTACTCTGCCCGAAGTTTGTCTTGAATTTGGGCACTCTGGAGCTTGTCTCGAACTTGCATTCCAAGATAGGTGTAGGCCTGATCTTCCACACGATGCTCAATAACTCCTCCCCCCTGTAACTTGACCCATCCACCATTAACTGCCTTGCCACGTTTCAAATGAAGAGTATTACATTTGTCGAGTACAAATGCCATGCCAATATCATTAGAAAATGTCTCGACAAGGAGAACTTGCTCTTTCAAATTGGTATCTCCTTTGGCAAGAAGCTCGATGTCATTCGTGTAAAGGAGATGAGTAAGCGGTGTTGGCGATCTGTGCTGAGGAGGTCCGGGATGGTAACCCTCCTCTCTATTGAGCAGAAAACTCAAAGGATTTAGAGACAAACACTTGCGAGTACATCTCAAGTTGAGTTGACAAGCAACTCATTAAAGGTCAATACAACGGAGAGACTTCAGAATCCACTCGTGAGGGACAGAGTCGTATGCTTTTTTGTAGTCAATCCCACACATAGAGAGGTTGCGGTGATATGTTTTAGCCTCTTTCAAAATCATTTTCTGTACAAGAAGTTGATCCCTGCACCCCACAACATCCCTTTCTCGCTCCCTTCTGCTCTCTGTAAATTAAATCATTGGAAGAACAGTAGGATGACACGAGGTTTGTCAAACACCCTGTGAAGATTGTATACTGAGTATTCAAACATGTGATAGGGCGGAAGGTTTTGGGATCAGTCAAGTCTCCTTTCATGGGAAGGAGTATTGAGCGACCTTTTTAGAACCACGGAGGAACATCACCTGTGTCCACAACAGAATTGAAACAGTGAAGTAATGTTGTTTGGACACAGGGGAACAGTTTCCAGTACCGGTTTCGAATGCCATCAGGCCCTGGAGCTGTATTAGATTTGGACTTTTTGTTAACACTTTTCAGGCAATCTGGTGAGATGTAGCAGACAAACGACCTAGTTACTTTCTCATGTATTGCATGGTCATATTATTATTACATTGTGCATGTGATCCTTAATTGCACCTGGATAGTATAATCATTTTGCAATATTATGAAAATGTTCTTAGTATATTCTATGCTTTCCATGCGAAGTATATGTAATTATAACTAATAACTGCATAGTGCCTTCAGTTCTATTTCGAATAAAATTTGTTTCGAATGTCTGTACATCTTAACCTATTACATTTTCAGCATCACCAGCTCCACCTTACTTCACCATCAATAACGTCACTTCTGAGATGAGCCTAAAACAACCACTTGATCGTGAAGAGAACGAGGCAGTCAGCACGAACGTAACATGTACAGTGAAATCAGGGTCACAAGAAATTGGGAAAACGAGCACGACTGTTACTGTCAATGTGATTGGCGTTAATGACAACCCGCTGTTATTTATCACAGACAGCTCACAACTGACTGTAAAAGACATCACCGACGATACCAAGGTACGAATCTTACGGAACTTACCTCTGGATATATATGTCAAATGTATTTGGCGACAATACGAGTGCTATATTAAGAACTGAAATATTGTTTATTATTGAAATGCCAATTTAAAAATAAAAGATTGCAAATTGACGTTGAAAGACCATATACAAACACGGTGAAAAGATCCACCACAATTAACTAATACTTTGTAACACTATGTAATAGCTCAACAATCAAATATATATATAAACAAATACATAGCAAATTATGATAACAAACGCCAAATGAGTCATGATCTGCCAACTTCAGATGGAAATACTCATAAAAATCAATTATACATAGTAATATTAGCTTTGCCTATTTAAAACTTTTGAAGAACAAACGACGACGTGAAGCTTTTTATATAGAACTGTCCATTCGTTTTTTCCTCATCTACGTTTAAATAAAACGTATGTTTTCTAAGATAATGAAATTTTCTAAAAAAATATCATCCATAAATATACAAGATATGTCAATAGATGATGTCAATAGTGACGTTTCCTTTTAAGGCTTTTATAACATATACGACATGCATATAATCTGATAGTTTGAATAAGAGTCGTCATGTCGCCATGTGACTTCTTCCTATGTAACATGATATACTGTGATATGAAAGACGTAGGATAAAAGATGCAATATGTAGAAAGTAATCCCAGAACCCTAGCATTACCACTATAGGCCTCGAAAGGTCAAGTTAGGAAAATATAGCCATATGGCCATGCAAAGAGCACTGGACCAGGTCTTCAAGCAGCTCTCGAAGACTGTAACCACTCAGAGGCGTTGGTTCTGATTTGTGTGTTTTTGGAATCAATTACCGGTCGGTAGTCAGCTTTTGTTTAAACCGCTGTAGCCTGCTGCATTGATGAAGGGTGCTCCTGACTAATCAACTCCAAGAATACTTGTAATATGCCGGTTGTTTCAATGTACGACAGACGGCGATATTTGTCCTGGACTGTTGACGTGATGGCTTAACGGTCACATATTTTCTAAAGGGTTCTTATCCTTGGAAGATTTGATGGTCAGATATAATCCCGGTAGAAAATACCATTCATAGCTTAGAATAGAATCAAGAACAAGAGATTACTCAAGACCAAAGGCACAAAGAACAAACTGGGATCGAGATATGTCGGCATATCGAAAGCAAAGATCTTAAGTTAATAATATGAAGTATTAAATATAGGAATCACTGTATTCGAATTTGGATAACCTTTCAAAAAATGTGCGTCAGGAAAACACGCCTTCATGCTGTAAAGTGTCACGTCATCATGTTGAACGTTCTGGAAAATCAAACTCTGTCCATTCACGTGTTCTGAATAAAACAATGATCAACCCACCTTGATTTCTGACATAGGGAAAGCTGAAATGTTAACAGATTGCGATCATATATTATACATCATACATCATACAACTACAGAGAAGGAAACGCTCCCTTAAATACAATTACACTTACGGAAACATATATCGGATGTAATTAACAGTCTCCTTGCAAACAAGGGATATGGGCCGGACAGAGTAGCCACAGTATTTGAAATATATTGCAGATTCAATTAGCAAACCACTTCGTCTATTGTTAAATATATCACTGTCAACTGGCCTATATACCTTCATATGGAAAGATGCACAAGCCATGTCGCTTCATAAGCAAGGTAGCAGAATACTAATACTTGCTTCTAACTATTTAAAGTATCGCTAAATTGATGGGTTGGCAAACAAAGAGTAGTTCCAAAGTGTAACATGACTAATTCATATTTTGGTAAAAGGCTATTGTGATTCAGGCTTTTACTGGTCATAAGCTTTCTGAACTCTATAATCGAGATCATATCTTGTGATGTGTCAAAAGCATTCGACCGTTGGAAATAATAGAAAAGTTAACGTGTTAAACTGTTTAGAAAGATATTCAGGCCATAGACATCAAAATGTATCTTTAAATTGGACGACATTATCAAGTCGTCAATATTTGAGCACTGGTGTGCCTCTGAAAGAAGCAAATTCAAACCGGAAAATCATATTTGATGCTAAAGGATTATACAGTACAAGTGCTCAGAAGCATCTCGGTATAACGCTCTATCTTGAATCTACACAAAAACATCCATGCGAAAGAGACAGTATGTAAAATAAGGAGACTCTCAACACTGAACACACTATTTTCATACCAAACCCCAGTGAGAAGCAGCTCATATAGTTACAGGTTAACGGATGTATGCTTCCCGAGAAGTTCCCTATTTTGAAACGGGTTGGAATACACTTGCAGAAAAAGAAAGCATCGTGGGCTCCGCTTGTTTCACTGTTTTAATAACCATGTAACCCCTTCTCAGGCGTGTGAACTTTTACCAAAGACACAATGTATCAACACCATTCAGTCGAACACTATTATTTAATCAGTCAGTTTTCTCCTCTACAGGAAAGTTGTGTAATGATTTTCCCCTGTCAGTAAGGAAACCAAGCACTCTAAGCGGTTCTAAAAGCAAACCCAACATACAAACTAAATATGCCTCCAATTATTGTTCCTGTAGATCAAAGATATATAAGCTATTGTTTACAAACCTACGCTACACCTGCACTCAGTAACATTATGCCTGAACTAGAACTGGTATGATTAAAAGACCTATATGTCTCGTTTATGACTACTTAATAGAATGTCTACTCTATCTTACTGATTAAAATTGTCAAATGAAGCTAGTCTATGGTATGTCATTATTGTTAAATGGGATCGCCCATCTCAACTGCACACTATCCATAAGTAAACTAAACAATTAAAAGAGATGTAACTGAAGAGAGATAAATATATAAATGAAACTAAACGATCAAAATAAATGCTAAAATCTGCCTTCTGCTACACACAGCTGTATACTCTTCGTATGTCCTCTGTCTTGTGTACAAAAGTAGTATTATAGGCTATCCATGTGAATGTCCATTGGTAGAAGGTTACCTAAGTTGTGAAAACTTCTGTTCAGTCCTCTTTCTTGTGAATAAAATATGTATGAATAAAATGTTGGCCAAACCTGTAGCAACTACAATTTAGGAACGAAAGTTTACAATTCTGCAAGCATAGTCCGTAGAGAACATTACTTTAAGCATCAAACATTAATGGTCCATTACAGCCATGTAATGCTTAATGAAATAAGTCACTGAGAAAGGAATAGCAGACAAGGATGATATTATATATCTAGAACTGAATTAAACTTACAGATAACCTATGCCTATTGCTGGATCAACATCAGTAATTGTAAATATAAGTTTTTGTTGTTTTCGCATATATCTCATGTATGCATATTTCATCTTGAAATGAAAGGGACCAATGGGACTGCTTCATAGAGTTCATACTCAGATCCACGCATAAAGATTCAGGGCGACAGAAACTCACAAGGCTGAATAAAATGAGAAATGACTTTCTATTAATCAACATTCCTTCCATGTCGAGCAATATTCGAGAGGTTTCAGCCTTTGGTGTTTACATCTCACGACTCGGGGAACAATCCAGTATGCTTTCCGTTTTACCAAGATTTCAAGGAACGTCAATTGACTCTTGCACATTTTTAGTTAGTGCAGGACCTGGTTACTATCGGATTTCCTCCCACATCAAGCTTGCACTTAGCAGCTGAGCAGCACGAACCACCTGGGCATAGTTTTGGTACACAGTATACTGGAGTAAATTCCGTAAATAACCGAAACTGAGTATGGCGAACTGATAGGTTAGATAGAATGACCATTCAATCTGTCTTGCCAAAACCTGATTCCATTAAACAAACATATCCATGAATCATTCTATAGATTAAAACAATGGTTGATCAAACCGGAAGTTGTACCATGTCATTTAGCTGGAAACCATTTTACAATTATGGCTTACACAAACACTACAGAAAAGACCAGCAGCAATCGGCACAGCTCCCGTATAAGGCCTGTGTGTTGCTGTAATTCTACTTGAACTACAGAAGCAAATTGGCCTACTTTACTGCTTCTCAATTACATCGCCATAAGGAAGGGGAATTATGAGTGGCATACACTGAGGAAACAAGCAAGATGAAAGCTTGGTTTAAGGCTGATTTGCTGTAATGATAAATAGTCCACGTCGATAATGCTTCACTACATTGTTTTTTATGACATATAACACTGAAGGCTTGGTTATTACCTTAATCATCGTATGACATTACCCCAATCATACTAGTGACTGACCTCAGACAATAATGTTTCAAGCAATAGATGTTTTAGGCAGTGAAACCTCGTTTATCCGGACATCATGCCTGTCGGACATTACGGCGATATATAATCACAATCAAAGGAACAGGATTGGTGGATATTGAGGTATAATTTGGGATTGTACAGTACGGATTAGCGGTGTTCCACAGTACTGCACCTACTTAACTGTACACAGCTAATGATACTGTCTGGTTGAACAGCTCGAAATGTGACGTCACGATGGAGAGATGTACGCCGAATTGTTTACAGTCCATTAATATGCATGTAAATGAAGTGATTCTTCGTTGTTCTCTGTGTACACAAAACGCAAAAAGGGATATTGGGTTGAAGGGGATGTACCAATTCATCCAACAAATCAACCAAATGTAATTTCCTTGAGATATCCAACCGCAATGCAACGAACCTATAAAGGACAACTTAATCTTATTAAAACCAAGTATTTCCAGTGCCTATGAGACCCAACACACCTCGCTATAGCCGTCAGATTCAGTCTGTCATCCGACAGATGAAGTGTACTTATTTAATTTAGTTATTTACTTTATTCACTTCTTGTATGTGTGGGGCGGTGGGGTAGCCTAGTGGTTAAAGCGTTGGCTCGTCACGCCGAAGACCCGGGTTCGATTCCCTACATGGGCACACTGTGTTTAGCCCATTTCTGTTGTACCCCGCCGTGATATTGCTGGAATATTGCTAAAAGCGGCGTAAAACTAAACTCAGTCAGTCTTGTATGTGTCCTTGCTATACTCACCGACCCGTGCATTGCGTGCCCCCTTCTATACAAACACAGGAAACTATGGAAATGAAGATGCCTTAAAATATTATAATCAAAACAGAACATACCTCTATTAGCCTTAGCAATGATTTTCCTATAAATTTCAATTTGAAAAAAGTGTGTGTGTCAATTTTAGTATAGACGCATGGAAACAAATAAGGGAACACATGAAAGTACAAGTGTGCCTTTATTCTTTTCCCAGGTTTCTTCACAAGGTATGTTTTGCACTGTGAGTGAAATTCTGAAACTAAATAAAGGGACACTTGTACTTTCATGTGTTCCCTTATTCGTTTCTATGAGTATATTTGATACAGTGTTCATTGTCGATTATTCGTGCTTCGGGTCCATTTTTCATCAAATGGATGGTTTTCATGCTGAGTAGCAAAGGAGTAGTTTCTACTGGCTGTGGATTTCACGGGATGGGAATACTTAACCACGTAAATATCCCCCATCCACCCTGGATCCATAACCGAAAAAGTTATGATTTTTTTTTCAAATTCATTTATATTAATGGTAAATATATTTTCTCTGTTTGTTTCATTCTTCGTTTCTTTATGTCTCTGCATTGCATGTGAGACGATGTTTTATGAAGATAACATATTTATACTGACAGAGTTCAGTATGGCGTTAAGTACTCTAAACTCGTACAAGTTTCCAAAAAAAGAGTTTCTTGTACACGTTTCAATAAAGAGCTTCTTCATAATGGACTGTGAGTTTCTAAAAAAGGTTGTAGTGAGTGAGTTAATATTTAACGTCACATCGGCAATATCGCAGCCATATCGTGACGAAAACAATTTATATAATACAAAAATGAAAACATTGTGAAAAGTTAAACCTATCGACGATGAACAGTAAAGATACTAGAGTATCACAGATATGAACATAAAACTAGCATATAAAACTAAAACAGTGTAATTAAAAAGACCCTACAATATAAAACACGGGCTATAGATCGCCAGCATCTGAAGGTAGATCACCATACTAAAATGAAGTTGTTAGTTATCAATGATAAACAGAAATGCGTGCATGACGATCATGTGACTTTAAGGATGTCATTTTTCAGAGCATCTCCGAGATGCTGCAAGAGGGTGACAAAGGACAGCCAGAACAGTATGACGTCACAGTTGTGAACGACACGCAGAGACTCGTGGGCACCGTAAAGCTGGATGTACACAATACGCCTTCAGGAAGATTTCTACTAATTAGTAATGTTTATCTCTCTTTCTTTGTAACTTTCCTCTGTGGTACTAAGTGACTCCTTTCTCAAAGCAAGTAACATTCCTTTCTGATAGCAAGTAACGTTCCTTTCTGATTGCAAGTAACATTCGTTGGTGGCGGGAAGTAGCATTCCTCTGTGACACCAAACGAAAAACGTTTGATATTGCTAACACAGTGACATGACCTCAACGCACTAGCACCGAAAACCAACCTTTCAGTATTCTGCAAACGGTAATGGCGCAAAAACAAACTTGCCAGACATTTTGATATTCATCGAAAAGCAATGTGATCTCTTTGGAGACGTTATCTAAATCTGTGCAACACCCATGACTTGTCAGGTCAACAAGACAAACGTATCCAGGACGTCATCGTTCCAGATCATGTTCCATCATCTGGGCAAATGTAGGGACGTTGCAGCAGGATAATGCCCTCCCACATGTTGCATGTGTTCTAACTGTCTTTTTAAGGCAGAATAACATTGATGTACTGTATTCCGGCTGGTTCTTCAGACCTCTCCCCTAAAGAACATGTCCTGAAACAACAGGACCAGAACCAGTCGGTAATACTAACTGACATGGACCGAACTTTGGTTGACATTTAGAACATCCACCAGGCTGTTTACAATCATCTGGTGTCTTCAGTGCACCGCCAAAGGTCTGTCTGAATCAGTGCAAATGATCACACTTGATATTGACATAACCCTGTGAGTTGTAACATCATGCACGCTTGCAAGGCGTGTCTCTCTGCCTTGAGTTTTGTCAATGAATTTGTTATGATAAAATATTGATCAGACGAACGACCAAACATTAGGCTGTTATTTCAATAACAATACATTCTCACCGCTCTATATGAAGCGCAGTTACGTTCTTCATGTAATCAGCACAACGAGTATACTCAACTAAGTTGTGTTTGTGTTTTAGCCGTGGTACCAAATATAACAAAGGACGTGGAGTCACCCTACTCTGTAGATATCCACGTGCGAGACAGAGGCTTCCAGCCACAGTTGAGTTCCACTGCAAACAGTAGTGATACGGTAAGGCGGTGGGAGAAACCATAAAACTTGATAGTGACGACACTTGTGTCTACACCACTTTCACCAGTACATGCATTCTATTAAATGTTTGTTGATGAATGTTTGATGAGACTTGTGTACCTTGCATTGGAGAGAAAGAAATAGATGTGACTATGTAACCATGGGCATTTCATTTTTCACTAACTCTTGCTGTCCTCAAAACTGGACTATCTACAACACCTCCTATATCATTGGTGCAAATACAGTAGGTCGATCCCAAAGTAGAATCTACAACGAATCATAATGATATGTATATTGTTGAGATGGTTTCACTGTGTAAAAGGTTACGACATTCAGCGCTACAAAAATGGAATTGAAAATGTGCATAATGCGTAAGGTGACTGATACGCTCTGAGCGTATTCTACTTTGACGGAGTTGTTTCCAAATCTTTTTATCTACATGCTTTACTCCGAAATCCCCACACTATTAGAATGATGTTAGAGCGATGGGATTGGACAGGTATAGAAGCATTCCCTCTGGTGTCGTAAAAAGTCATCAACTGCGGAATTACGTCACCATCCGCTACATAATGCTTGCAGACCTTTCTTAAAATCTGCGAAATCTCATGGTGTCAAATCTGATAAATACGGAAGCTGGTCAAAGTGTTCAACGCTCCAAACATGCATGGAAACTTCACAGGTTGTACACATGTGCATGGTACTGGTGAGATAACCCGCCTGGCGTGCATTTTCCTGAGATTAAGCATGCTAACGGCCAATAGTGGTTTTACCTTTTGGGAGAAAGTCCATCAGAAGGGTGGTTTCTTATTTAACGCCGCACTCAGTAGTATTCAAGCTATATGGTGACGGCCTGTAAATAACCGAATCTGGACCACACAATCCAGTGATCAACAGCATGAACATCGATCTACGCAATGGGATACGGTGACATGTGCCAACCAAGTCAGCGAGCCTCACTGACCGATCCTGGTTACTGAAGACCAATTCTAACCCGGATCTTCCCGATTCCTGACGAACTGACGGAAAGCCAAACGTTGGAACCTGATGGAACAAGCTTTGTGTTCTACAGAGCAAGAGGCGTTAGATATTCCACTGCTTTGACTTCCACAGTGAAGGAAAAGTCTACGTGCCAACTCCTGACTGATAGTGGTAACGGTTTGGCATTTAACAGACATCGTCGTCCATGAACGAGCATCAAAGTATCACTAGAGATGAGAATTCTTGAAACCTTGCTTGCTGAAACTGTTCTCAAGCTCAGTTCATTCCTCGGCACTCTCTCAAGAGAGAGAGGATGTGAAAGTTGCACGGTGTACCCACAGCCGTCAGCCTCCTCTCGTAGTTGTGGCAAGTCAGTTCAGTGATGTTCATATCATAAAGGCCAATGCACTGATTGTAAATATATCTGATTCCTGTCATAATGACTTGACAACATATATTTGAAAATTATCCGTCATAATGAATTCTGAGCTCACTTGTTAACAGGCTATCGTCAGACTGAACTATAAAAGACACGTGCCTTATGTTAAGATGAGACTGAACAGGAACGCAGCAAAATATTACAGGGTAAGTGTACTTTTCATTATTTTCTCCCCCGATTAAAGGTCCCAGTCTCATATAACTACTGGTTTATCTTAAACGTCATCTGTGATAGAACTGGACCAATGAAACTCAAGCTAAGTTTGTTCATGTATTGAGACAAACGTCCATTGGTTATTTCATTACAGTGTTTTATTACATTTTCAATTGTCTCTCCAAATGGTGTTGTCGCCACAAAGTATTGCCACCTTCAAACAAGGAATAATACCTTCCATCTCTCCACTTCCGGCGTGAGACGCTTACTATCTTATATGACCCGACTGTGAATTTATAATGCAAACTAATTTCCCGCACTCATCACGACTTCAATTATGTCACGATGACCTGTACAAATATCGAGTGTCTAGGCAACAGCAAGATCAAACTTCAACGAGACGGAACCCCTTTCTCTTACCACTAGCATAGACTTATTTTGCCATGTAATTCCAAAGGGATTATTATGGTCATACGAATCTATGCCTACGTCGCACCCCACCAGTTTCCTCAATGGTGGATTGTAATAGTTCTATATTGGTTACAGCTCGGAACTTTGTCGGCTCTTCCGGAGTTGAGGAACGCCAGCATCAACCACTACAGCATCCACAACGCCATCAACTCCTCCGTTCCTTTAGCAGTAACTCCAAGGAAGGGGATTGTCTATGTCGTGGATGACCGTTCCTTGCAGAAGTTTCATGCCAACGTCTTCACCGTTGATGTGCACGCCCGGACAGATGGTGGTGAAATCATCGTGAAAACCATCCAGGTATCCCTCCATGGCGATGTCGGCAGAGAACTAGGAACATGTGGTAATCACAGAGACATTTTATGTATTTTTATAATTTATTATTTCAATTTCATGGAATACTAAACTTCTTGAAGGCAATGTCACTGTAATGAGGGAAAAGAATGAAACGGAAGTAATGTCAGTTACAGTACTGTGATCAACCCTGCTACACAAAGCAAGGGATGACTACCCTTTTCACGAACACTACATGGTGTCAGCAGTGATATTCAGTCGTCCTTTCGTGCAGCTGTCACCTCTGTTTTGTGTTTGTGTGAAACAAGTTACAAATCTTGACAGAGTCTAAGTCTAATTTGCTATAAATCATTTGAAAACCTCACACTTCAGTCGTAATAACGACTACCATTGATCACAAATCTTCAGAGAGAAGGTGAGTGGTATAGGTGTGTGCTTCTTCGAGGTCACAATATCCAAATGATCCCAGTGTTCTTTGCTTTGAGTATACATACCGTATAGATGTTGCGAAATGACTTCATTGTGGGGCTACTGTCCGTTTATACCGACAACATCGGCTTGCTTGGACGTTCATCGGTTGTGAGTGAGTGAGTGAGAGTGAGTGAGTTAAATTTTAACGTCACCTCGGCAATATTTCAGCCATATCGTGACGAGAACAATTAATTGGTATACATGGTAAGTAATAGTAAATTATACAAACCTACGAAGGACAGTAAAATAACTAGATTATCACAGAGACGAATTTGAAACTAGTAATTAAATCTAAAACAGTTTAACTATAGATGACAATACAATATAAAAACGGGCTATAGATTGCCAACAACTGAAGGTAGATCACCATACTAGGGACCATGGGGACTTACAGTACATTTGCTTCCTGCATGGACCCTAGCTTGATTTACACCAAACCTTCAGCTGTTAGCAATTTCATCGGTTGTGCGCATTCAAGGCTCAGTTAATCTCTGATCCCTGATCTGTGATGTGCAGTGATCATTGATCTTCGGAGGTTCGTCCATATGTTTTTAAACCCTGTTTTACCTTGTACGCACTGTAGAATCCGTTTCGTCGACCGGTTGTTTTGTTGCGTTGGCGTTTGCTATTTGTAAAACGTGCACGTGCCTCATGTGAAACTAAGACATTATTGCTGTTACATTTCGGTAATTGTTCACTTCTAGACTGTCTAGACAATCGTACAGTGTGAGTGGCACTCACCCGACTCTGAATCCAACTTGCTAATGACGTTATGCTCGTGCCAATGTTTCCATCAGAACATTTAATGTTATATGCTTCAGAATGGCACGCATTTTTAAAACGTGATATGGCTTTGATTGGAATGGATTCAAATTATAAGAAACATCTATAAACTTTTGCAGAAAGCACATTTTCCCGTTTTGAATATTTTGGTCCGGATTTGAATTATTCAAATAATAAAGTAAGCGAGTACTCTATGTCCGTTGGCGTGGCAGCCAGCTGTTCAGTCATGATGTTGACATGATCGAACTTGTAACTGAAACGTTGATTTGTGACAGGCGAAAAGCCAACTGCTCTATAGAACACTTGCTACACCACAATAAATGGTTTTACTGCGATAATTATTTTGAATCGATAAAGTAATGAGGATAGGTGTTCCATGACCATGTGACATGGGCAAAATACATTACCAGCAGAAGAAAGCGGGAAGTGCTGGTAATTGGGCAGTGTTTATTTGCCGAGACATTTATGTGACTAGGATATACAATCGGCATTCGGTCCTTTTTCTGTCCTTATTCGTTCGTCCAATAACGATACTGATGATGCTCGTGATGTCCACAAGCTGACGTGGTTCAAGCAATGTTAGTGATCTTGTTTCATGAAGGTTACATCAAAAGTGCTTTTCGTCATCTTCGGTTCCTAGGTTCTGGCCCATATACATCTTACACTTGAGTTTCTGAAAAGGACAAATATGCGTCAGATGCTACATGGCCAGCAATTGCTCTTGGGGTATCTCTGTACTGACAAGCTGGCCGTACAGATCACATACAAAACGGGAGAGTGAACCTCGATCGCCAATTTGCATCGTCCAGTCAGACGCTTACATTTGACTGATTGTAGGGCGCTTCGTATTGTAACATCTGACAATAGATGTTACAAGCATTCCTTTGGCGTTCTTTAAATATTGCAGCGTATCATCAAAATTGTGAAGAGACGGTCATCTAACTCGGTCAAACGGCTATTTGGTATCATGCATCCATCGAAAGTGAACTTCAGATGAAAATTTTGCGGCTTGCAGACAAACAGATCCTATGTTGGATCCCCACATGAACCAGAGTAGTATGTCAACCTTAAACCTATTTACGTCTGTTAAACAACTAACGGTACATCACACCACTTGCTTGACAACGACATTAGAATCTATGTCGAAACGTCGCCTAAACAGAATAAAGAAGTTGTATATCAATAAATATTGTCCTCATTCTTCTGGCATTTTAGAAGTTGGGACGTACAATATTGAACCACCTTAACGATAACAAACTTCTTCTATTTCGTGAGTGCGACGATACAGATACAGATTATCGAAACGTCGCACTCACGGACTAAAAGAAGATTGTTTGATTCCTGGTGGAGTATGTTCTCAGTTTATTCTGATTGTTTGCTCCCAGATGAAGGATGTTCCCAGTACATGAACATGTCATCGTGTGAGAACAACTGCGGACTGGGCACTGCAGACAGACGCTGCCGATGGCGACCTGGCTACACGAACATGAGTCGACTGTATTCCACTTGCACCTTCTTCTGGAGGACGTGCCCAGACCGAGTCTGTGATGAACTAGAGCAGCTGAATGCTTATCTCTGTCCGCAGGACTGTACTAAAGGTATAGAAGGTGTTTTAGTGCTTTCTGGTGACTCGCTGGTACCAAACTCCTGAAAAGGAAAATAAACTCTTATAAATAGGAAGGATTCTTAGAGTTCAGGATATGCAGAGTCCAAAGTGTTTGTTTGTTGTTAACGCAGCAAAATTCAGGTTTTGAGAAATAGATTTGTAAATACCGGACATTATGGCGTTAGGCGATTCAGGGAAAATATGTGCTGATGTGCTCGCCGAGAATATGAACGACCGTCCATATCAATCAAATGATCCTTTCTGATCTTTTGAAACAACACGACTACAGCAAACAATTCTTTTATAGAGTCAATCATAGGCGAGACCCGTCCGACGACAGGGCGTGGTATCGGCATGGCTAAAGGTCCGTGCTGGTGTGACGGGAGACCGGTCAAGTGTCACTGTATGGGGGGACCTGCGACTAGGCGTCACCCACACAGAGAGGGTCACTCACGTTGCTGGTACAGGTATATATGTTCATTGTCAAAAGATGATTTCGACACACGTTCATGTGTTGGCCGACATTAATTGGGAAACTTCCAACAACAATCATGGGATCATGAGTTGCTTTTCTATATAAATAAAAGAACAGAATATTCTGATGCAGTGTGTATTTGTGTGGAATGAAAATTTGTGTTGATCTCATGAACATTTCCGAACATTATCTTATTAATGTCATGAAGACACGCTTGCTAATACAACGCTATATAAATGCAGAAAGTCATCATACGGAATGTTATATAAATTATAAAATGAGCAACCGTCAGGTTACTTTTACATCTACTTGTAACTGCTTTATGTACGTTACAGTTGCCGAGCAACGAGCAGACGACACCGAATCCTGCGACAATATGTGCAAGGCATCTGTTGCTTCATCCGTCGTTTGTGTAGTGGCAGTCATTGTCGTCAGTGTTGTCATTTGGCTGGTTTGGCGTCGACGTCGCTGTCGTCGTTCACAGGTTCTGAAACATGTTGGCAGCATTGTATCGATGACGGCGTTGCCGTCTGACTATTTGGAGGACCGAGAGCCAAGGACGTCGTACCACACTAACCCCTCCCCGCAGTGGTCGCCTAAAGTCAACACCGTGCCGCCTGTCAATAACGACATCCGTGTAAGTAGTTAACACAAAACAAACACGACTCTGTAAAACTGACAAAATCTTATGCTGAAATGACACAATCCCACCATTATTAATATCAACGACTCATCTGTGATTCATCTGATGCAAATATCTCTGTATTATGGAATCGCCCCTTTTGTGGTTATGACGGGAGCAGGATACGCTCACCTTTTCCCGAACACCTGGTGTCATCATTATTACAATAATAAGTACATGCTTATGATACAATATGGATCTGGTTCGTCGCTTTTACTGAGCACTCAAGAACATGAGAAGACATTGTGATTACAAAAGAGTTGGTTCAAAGTATGCATTTGCCGAATATGGCAACGTTTCTACAATACAATGCACCTATTGGCTGTTTTGACGTGGTCTGGCAAATATATCACTTACGATGCAGAGCTGGTGCGTCTAGTCAGGGACAGGCGAAAGGGCTATCAGAGATTTTTTTATGCACAAATGTACTGAAAATAAGTACCCTCCAGAGCGTTTCATAATTTTGAATTACCCTCGCCACGTTTTTGTATTTCGTTTAAGAACCTTCTGGATAAACAAAATGCAAAAACACTTTTTCTGCCATTTTAAAACATCGCTGTCCTCAGGATAATCCCCTACAGACTGGTCATATTTTCGGGTTATTGTCCCATATTGCCACTGACCCATCCCACCCTATACTGAAATACTGATCCATTTTGCCCGACAGAAGCCTAAGACCGTGCTTTAAAATACCACCTAATCCTTGTTAAGTCAGCGCCAGACCGTGCTCCTGGGTATCACATAGGCGGTAACCGCCTATAGTCAGGACCTGAACCACGTCTGGCATTTCTCCCACATTAAGTTGTCACATTGTGATGACCGCTACTATAGTTCACAGCGCTGTTACACCTACACAATCACTGATCCCGTGTACAGGTAAACAAGTGGGAGTTCCCTAGGGAGCATCTCCATCTCCAGCAGACCCTAGGGGAGGGGGAGTTCGGACAGGTGGTCCAGGCCATAGCGTGGGCCATCTACGGGGACGACAAATACGCCACGGTCGCTGTCAAGATGTTGAAGAGTGAGTATAATAATCAATATTTTCTCCTAAAGAATATAAGAAAACCGTTTGATAATTTAGACTTATCTTTTAATAACTTTTTGTTTATACTGTTCTCATCAATACAAATTTGAGTATATGTGTAGCTTTATGTGAGTATACATTGCTGAAAGATCAAATATATGTAAATATTGCACATTGAGTTTCAGCGGTTAACAATGGTCATTCTGGATCAAATAATGGGAATAGAGGAAACCATTTTTTTGATAATTTATCAAAAACATTGTTTCTTTTGGATATATAAGTTGTCGACCATGAAAATGTCTTTTAATTTTTTTTATAAAGTTTTTCTAGCTGGGAATTATTTTTTTCAGGGTGCAAATATAGATGTGACTTTTAGCAGAAAGTATTGTATGACAAAGTAGTGGGTTAGTACTTACAATACCAAACCAAACGTAAAACTTTGTCAACTGGAATTCCTGTATGTTTTGATCCAAATTTGAAGTTCATTCCAATTTTTTTTTGTTTCCTCACATTCCCAATATATATGACATATGTTTTCATCTGCTTCATTACAGAAAGTACATATTAAATTGTCAACCAGTTTCATCTTTAAAAGTTCTTTTTTGGTATAAACAATTCAATTCAAAAATTAAATTTAAAATCTAAAAGCTTATCATCTGTTATATTGTTTCTATATAGATTAAAGATCAAGGGCCATTTAAAATCAATGTCTTTGAATATTTGTTTCCATTTATGGCAGATATGTGGTATAACACTATCATATAGCAATTTATCATAAAATTTTCTTGAACCTTTAGCTGAAGTCATGAAATCCTTATGTAAAGAGTATATTATAAGGCCATTTGTATACATATATCTGTAACCTTTTAAGGTCTTTTTCCATGATTCAGGGAAAATATATAAGGTGTATTCAAGATCTAAATATGTACCCTTATCCAATATGTATTTCGTAAATCATCAAAAGAGACCACGCCTTGTTCATCATACAAGTCTTTAATTGTTAAAATTCCTTTGTTAGCCCAGTGTCTGATAAAGGGGTTTGGGTTTTTAAAGTTAGGATTGAGCCATATGGGTTGGGATAAGATTTCATTGATGTTGTCATCTTCAATAGTGTTTTTAGTTTAATATAATTTCCATGCCTTCAAGACATCCCTCCAAAAAGGATTTTCAATTTCAACAATATTCTGAAAATTTGCGCCATACTTTAGTATATTTTTTAATGGTAAATTGCATGGATTACTTACATTTGCTTTTCTGACATATAGTCTGAGTATGGATAGTTTCATGGCATGCATTAACAAAGGCTTTGATATCAATCATGCGTAAACTCCCTTCTTTATAATCTTTTTTTCAAAATGCTCCGTCTAATTTTGTCAATTTTATTATCCCAAATAAATCTGAAAAATATTCTCTCTAGAGAAGTAATAAATTCATCTGGTGGGTTAGGTTACGTATTAAAGATATCCACCAGTTTTGAAAGAGCAAGTGTTTTAATAACAGTAATTTGCCAAGCAATATCAGTTTTCTTTTTCTCCATGTCGCTAGTAATCTATTAATGTCTTCTAGTCTTTTTCTTGTGTTGATATACCAAAGATCATTTAAGTCAGGAGTAAATTTAATTCCTAAGACTTCGAATTCATTTCGTTGCCATTCTACATTCAAGCATGTCTCTGCCTCCAGCTTTAGAGCCAATCCAGATTGCCTTAGTCTTATCTATATTTATTTTTAGCCAGGACATATTGTAGAAAGTATTAATTGTATCAATCGCAGCATATAAACTATCCTCTGAGCCATTCAAAAATAATTCTGTATCATAAGCATATTGGCCTAACTTATATTCTTGCTCATCGATTACAATACCCTTTATTTGTCTTTTGTCTTATCATACATCCAAGGATTTCAGACACAAAAAAGAAACAAATATAGTGATAATAGATCACCTTGCCTGCAGCCTCTCTTGTTAGGGAAGAACTCAGAGGGATGTCCATTCTGAATAACACATGAAGTTGTGTCATAAGTTAACAAATTAATCCAGCGCATACTTTCTGGAACGAAACCAAATTTTAATAAGACAGAATTAATAAAATCTTTAGAAACTGTGTCGAAAGATTTTTCAAAATCAATCAAAATCAATAAACCCGGTATATCTCGTTTCTTAGTTTCAAACATGATATCATACAGTACTCTTGTATTTTCACTTAGTGTTCTGCCTGATGGTATAAATCCAGTCTGTTTATCATGTATTAGAGAATGTAAGGTAATTTTCAATCGGTTAGAGATACAGGCACTTATTATTTTATACAGAGCATTTAATAAAGTAATTGGTCTCCAGTTCTTTAATTGGTTTCTGTTTTTATTACCTTTTGGTATACGGGTGATAACTCCTCTCTTTATGGTAAGAGACATCTTATTCTTACAGAAACATCTTTAATAAATCTGAAAATCCAAACTTTAAGATCTTTCCAAAAGTACTTAAAGAAATCTATCGAAAATCCATCTATTCCAGGGCTTTTGTTATTCTTCATGATTTTTATTGCCAGTGATATTTCATTCATGTCAATGTCTGTTTCTAATTTGTCTCTCAGTTGGTCACTCAAGGTTGGAGCTATCACATTTTTATAATGAGAAACTGTTTCATATTTCTCATCTGAAGAATAACGTTTTTAATAAAATTCCTTAAGTTCATTTAAGATTGAATCACTGTCAGTACTTTCATCACCCTTATGATGATTTTGTTTATTGATTGGCTGACATAATTTCTTTTTTCTAAATTTCTATATCTTTTAATAACTTAATACTACAAAAGATAAAAGAGTCCGGGGATCACTAAGTCTTTAAAACATGCCGGGAAGGGAGAAGATGGCACTCCCTGTTGGGGTAATGAGAGCAGTCAGAGGCAGTTCTCTGAGCATTCTGTGTTACTCTCTCCTCAATCAGTACACATAGATGATCGAATTGAATTGCTGAAAGGACAATTTTAATTAATTTGTTCTTGTTTACCTTAGACAGACCGGTATACCAAATATGGAAACAGAAGGTTAAAACACATTGAATAAAACACATTGATAAAATGCTAATACTGACATTGAAAGAACGAACTTTGCGTAAAAAATGCTGGACGTTTGCATTCCAGTTCAACTTAGAGTCTATATCACTTTCTATCCCGCCGCAATACGTTTTGAAATGCGCTCCGTCCATTAGTGCGTCCGTGCGTCCGTGCACTTTCGTCTTTTCCGGAGTAGAACTTCAAAACCGTTCACTATTTCTTCACCAAACTTGGCACACAGATAGATCTGGTGGAGTACTGGTGCCTTTTGGTAGTTTTGGATTTCTGTTTCTGTTTGCGTTTCCATGGCAACAAGTTCGATTTCGACTGAATTTGGTGGTAGTGGTCCTTTCTGTGCCATATACACACTTAAATTGTGACATAATCATAATTAGTAGGCATATTCATGAAGACACTTAGTGTATTTTGCCATTGCGGGGGATATTGATTACTTGTCTTCTTGTTAATAATATATCTGTACATATCAACATAAATGTGTACATATCAACATAAATATGTGTACATATCAACATTAATATGTCAAAAATTGATGACAACCTCCCCAGAACAAAATGGGTGGTGACGTCGGGAGGCTGTGATCTGGTGTTCTGACATGTGATGGTATTTTCAACTTTCCCCTCAGCCGATGCCACAGTGGCGGAGTACCAGGACTTGTGGTCGGAGTTGAATCTCCTCAAGGAAGTGAACCACCCGAACGTGATCCGACTGCTTGGAGCATGCACACAGAATGGTAAGGAACCCGTTGTCGACAGTCAATTTAGCTGGTGGCAACACAAGTCGCTGCATTTTAATCCTGATCCAGCAGTATTGGTAGTCTCTCCTAGAAATACTGTATTGATAGTCGCTCCCAGCAATACTGTGAAAGGACGTTGTGGGCTGTTAGAGACGTTACGTATTGTCACCTCCAAACATTGTATGTTTAATTAATGCTTGTCTGTGTTGTACGTTCCCATACATCCGGTACAACGAAGGAGTCCAGCTTCTCTGTCATGCCCTTTACGTCCATGAAATCTGTTGCCCCCAATGGGTACAGTATGTGAAGTCCACGATTTTCTTGTGATTCCTAAGACACTGCTTGTATGTAGGCAAAAGTTTCAGGTCATGATCACCTCCACCAGGCTCTCCACGTGGTCCTGGTGTAGCCGTAACATATGACAGCGAATCATGTTTATGGGTACAGGCATCAATGTCAATGTCATACTTGTAGAGTTCAAATATGGCTTGTATTTTACAGGTCCCTTTTATGTGATTGTTGAGTACTGTAAACACGGATGCTTGAAAAGCTATTTGCGAAGCTCACGATTTAAAGACAGGAAGAGCTGGGACGCAAACCAAAATTCAGGAAATTCCGAACCTTCCCGGAACGAACAGGCTATTGTGCTGGTCATCCGTGATCTGCTTTCATTTTCCTGGCAGATCGCCAAAGGCATGGAATACCTATCCAACATGAAAGTAAGATTGTTACTCTGTTATTGTTCGTGTATTGTTTGCCTAATCTTATTACACTAAGAAGTAAACGACCTATGAAAAGGCGGTCTGTAAAAATCGAGACTGTACCAGACAATCCAGTGTCAGACATTATGAACATCGGTCTACACAAAAGGGAAATAATGACATGTCCGTGAGCTTCCCTTGCCGATTCGGACCCGTGAAGATCCGGGTTAGAATGAATCTTCAGTAACCCACGCTTGTCATAAGAGACGACTAACGGGATCGGGTGGTCAGGTTCGCTGGCTTGGTTGACACATGTCATCGGTTCCCAATTGCGCAGATCGATGCTCATGCTGTTGATCACTGGATTGTCTGGTCCAGACTCGATTATTTACAGACCGCCGCCATATAGCTGGAATATTGCTGAGTGCGGCGAAAACTAAACTCCACTTTCCCCTTGCCGGTTCCGTTAGTCACATCTGTGTTCCTGAAGGTCATTATCAATGCTCAGTCAGATCGTCTCAGGGTTTTTACCGCATTAATATCCATGTGCTATGCCATGTATGGGAGGTTGAACTGGTCGTCGTGTGGCTGTGGGTGGAGTTCGGCATGTAAACTGGCTTCAGGACGGTGAAGTTACACTTACATCAGGGGTTGTTGACTGAGTAGACCAATCTGACGCCGGGGGGTAAGTGCGGCCAAGTCATGCTTAGATATATAGATAATTGCCCTAATCGGTTCCTGGGCTCCGTGTGATTACAGTACTTAATTAGGATTGATGTTTCTCATCATAAGCACGAAGCAACACTTTGCACCTGATATTGATCACAACAAATCGTCCATTTCACATGTGCGAGAATGATAGAAACGTTCGTAAAATATGCTTCGCAATCAGTTTAACTGTTTACGAAGTTGAAATGTTGTTAAACTTGACGTATATTCAGGATTTGATGGCACCTTTGATGAGAATTGTAGCCTGTGTGCATTACGGTGAACACCAGAAATACCAGCTGTGTTGCCACATACGCGGTTACTGCACAGGAATCCCCAAAACATATGATGGTATTCCCGGTGGTATGGAGGGATCATTCAATGGAACGTTTTCACGGACTCCATACCGGTTTGTCTCCCCACAGATGTGTTAACTTCTGGAGAATGATCAGAGAAACCGCTCCCAACAAGGCAAGATAGTAGCAGATCACGGACTCTTTTATCGTCATTAGTACTTTTCATGCTTCAGCTAAATATGTAAAAGAAACCCATAGATGTGTTAACGTTACTGTTTAAACTCTGAATGTGCACACTGAAGACCGCTTCACTCCATTATTAAGGGTTGTGGGATATCCTACTCTCAGTCCAGTTGATAGTTTGGTTGATATTGCTGAAAACCGGTGTCCGTGTTAGTACCCCCCTCCCTCCTTCAGTTTGTCCACAGAGATCTGGCAGCTCGCAACGTCCTGGTGGGAGAGGGCCGTGTCCTCAAGATATCGGACTTCGGCCTCAGTCGGGATGTGTATGAAGCCGATGCCTATCTCAAGATGACAAAGGTAGGTTGTCTCAGCATGGCTATTGTCTCTCTCATCATTTTCATTTGGCATTTCAGTCGACAAGCTGCTGGTCTGTTAAGTCACATACATATTTATTTACATACATACTCAGCCTATTAATGAGTGAACTAGTACCTAACAGCTTTCGTGGCGTCCTAGACGTTTGCAAGTAAATACGAAAAAGTATACCTTTATAGAAGGCGTTATGAAGAAGTTGTCTGAACACTTGTAGTTAGTAGTAGTTTTCTTCCTGGTAGTATGTGACGTTAGGCGGGTAACATCTTGCCTCCATATGTCTTTTTCACTGAATCTTATACTTTAAGTGTTATAGACAGACAAACAAATATAATGTAACGCATTTTATATTTGGGATGATATTTTCTTAGGCAAAGTACAAAATCTACTTTTTAGGGTTTGAATACCATCCATTCCGTGAGTGAGGTACCAAATCGCCAGCACAGCAGTCCGTGATCTAACCCGTTTCCCTGCACCGTCAGCCCGACGACTGGTACTCTAGATCTCGTACTTTGTGTGTCCCTATGTCAGGCATTGTGTATTCACAGACAGATATGTCTGTTTAGTGGAGAAAGTCATGTATGTGTGTTTGTCCTTATACCGTGTAACGCAGAAATAGTTGTGACGACTGCTCTAAGGTTCAACTGTTTTCTTTTCTAGGGTCGCATCCCAGTGAAGTGGATGGCGCCGGAGTCGTTATACGCACAGATATACACAACCAAGAGCGACATGTAAGTCCCCCTTGTCTCCGATTAACTGACGTTGAGCGGTAGTAGTACATACGTGTAGAACGTCAACACTAGAGAATACCCAGTCTCGAGTATCTGCCCAAACCTATTCCAGTACATGTATGTGCATGCCGCCGTGACCTGATGTGGGGGATGCTCATGATTTCAAAATCAAACGTATATGCGGCGTCTAAAAACCTCTGCTCGCCATTGAACCTGGTGTATGATTGTATGGCGCTTCTATCGATACCGTTTTAGCATAAACGTGATTGCTATGTAGAAGATAATGATCTGAAGTGAGTGAGTTTAGTTTTACGCCGCACTCAGCAATATTCCAGCTATATGGCGGCGGTCTGTAAATAATCGAGACAATCCAGTGATCATCAGCATGAGCATCGATCTGCGCAATTGGGAACCGATGACATGTGTCAACCAAGTCAGCGAGCCTGACCACCCGATCCCGTTAGTCGCCTCTTGGGTTACCGAAGATCAAGATTCTAACCCGGATCTTCACGGGTTAATGATCTGAAGAACGTTTGAAGGACCATTGTGCCTAACACACGGATGAAGATCATCAGTCCACATCACTGAAACGTTGATTGTAGTCTTACATAAAGCGACATTAAACCCATAACCAACTCACTCGTTACGGGCGGGCGGCTGGCTTACTGTGAAAACTCCCTGTACTGAGATAGTAAATCATGAAATAACTGCCACCCGTTCAGCACTGCTACCATTGGTCTGCCAGTTCTTAATACCCAACAGAAACCAGCAGAAAGAATACGTTACACGTGTACTATAAGAAAGGTGGGGACGACCTATCGATCATGTAACCCGGGGTGGTAAACTAATCTTGCGAACATGACAGCAGTCTTGTCTGTTGACAGGGTAGATGCTTTGATCACTACTACAAGATGATTACCGCCATCATTATCTTAATTCCCCCGCGGGGGCGCTCAGACGGAATAGATCCGCACTTCAGTTTTGTTGTGTGAACCTAAGGCCGGAGTTACCAGATAGTTTGTGTGCCATCGCTCCTCTCAGCTCAACGAATGTCCATGCTATCAAACACCGTTTATCGTAATAAGAACAGTATTTCTCAGTTATTGTTGAAATTATTGTCCACTATCGTCTCGAAATCCAATTGTATAAAGTGGGTTATATATTACATATGTTATAGTAATAGACAGATGGCGCGTATATACTTGACCATAGCTCTGATTGGAAGTCATTTTCATAGACAATGGCCTTGCTGGATATACACCACTAGCATTGGCTTGTGCGATATATCGATTTTAGGCGAGTTTACTGCAAACACTATCAAATGGACATATGAAGAAGAAACAATAGTTTTGGGCTCCTGTTCGTGTAACAGTTCTGACAATGGCCGCAGTATGCTGTATCCGGTCAGACTGTAAGGTGTACAAACATGTCTGGAGTTGTCCACCAGGGTCTTACACTGACCACATCGAGCCCTATCAAAGCTCACCCCCAGGGTAGGTATACACAGTACCGACACAGACAGATCAAGGCCTACACGGCTTTTAAGGTGGTATTCTATCCCTGCTGATCCGTATTTGCCAGTCGATGCCCTTTTCCTAAGCTCCAAGATAGCGGACTGTGTGGCAAAGTGTTTCTGAGAGTACAAAAAACTTTTCGGAACGTAAATACGTAATTACCTTTGACATCTTGTATGTGAAAAATGGCCCTGTTCGGATGAACAAAGGTTTTGGTGTTTTCTTTGTTTAGTCTGCTCATGTGAATCATCAATTCAAATGACGTCAAGTTTCTTTACCATTTTCGTAATGGAGAATATTGATAGCATTGTAAGGAATCAAAATTCATTGATTTATTTGCGGATAAATTGCCCTGTAGTGCATCGGTTAATGATACAGAGAAAATATCTCACACAAATTGGAACCTACACCAGAAATGAGGATCAGGAGATGGGGAAAAAAACTTTTCTGAAACGTTTGTATCACATGAACATATTTACATCTTCGTCAACCGTCCAACTCGTCATTCTGATATTTACATTCGTAATATATATCCCGTACTATGAATCCTTTTCAACTCGAATCGGCTCCCAATTGCGCAGATCGATGCTCATGCTGTTGATCACTGGATTGTCTGGTCCAGACTCGATTATTTACAGACCGCCGCCATATAGCTGGAATATTGCTGAGTGCGGCGTAAAACTAAACTCACTCACCCCTTGCCGTTTCACTTCAACTCGAAGTCCAATGTTCACGACTAGAGAGTCTGCACGGGAGTTGGATGGCGGTGTCTAGATCATGGTATTTGTTGTCACCCTGCCTGGCAGAGGATAAGTTGGATAAAACAAGGATTTACTTAACTGCGGTATGGTATCGCGAGGCTTCTTGTGGCTTCTTGTACTCTTCTGAGTTAACTCCATTTTATTATGTGAATCCTTCAGGGATACTACACTCTAGCCTGGAAACCCACACAGGTACATTATGTTGACTCCGAGTCTACCTGTCCTTTACATTATTCCTTAAATCCGTCCGACAGGCATGATACAATGCGGCTAGGGAATCAAACCGCTGACCGTGGGCTCTGTGCAAGCAGCATCTATCCACGCGACCACGGAGGCTAACATGGATATACTAGATTGGCTGTTTCTTGATTCTGCCTTTTATCGTATCGTATGGACAGATAATGCATTAATTGTCCTAAAATGCCGTTATATTCATGAGAAAAACAGGAGTGACTAACATGAAATGACAATGACGAATTATTGCCTCAGATATAGTATGACCAGACATTATTGAGAATTTTAGGGATATGTTTAATTGGATTTCTAGTATAAACAACCTTGACCAGCTATCAAGTGCTTGGTTTCATTCAAGAGAGACAACTCCGTTAATCCTTTTTCATTAGTTTGTGAAGAGTTATCCCCCTATGTTTACTTGCTAGCAGACGACATTTTCAGTGATCCTCAGTATGGATGATTTAGAGAAGAGGAAGTTGATTTTAGATATATTATAACAAGGACATCAGATCAGCTAAAGTGATTTCAAGTAGAACAGGCATCCCCTTGTCCACTGTTTATCGTATTTTTGAAAAATATTGCAAATGGATATGGCATCGAGCACCAGGGAGGCGCGGGTGGCTCAGAAAATTGACTGTCGGTGACAGGAGGCGGCTTAGTATTCTTGTTTCTAAAAACAAACGAAGGAATTTAGGAAACTTAACGCTGGATATGATTGATAGAGGAACTGTAGGTGTCTGTAAGGAGACAATTAGAACTGAGCTGCATGCAATGGGTTGGCAGAAAAGTCGAGGAATTCCACCACCGATCATGAAACCTGAACAAAAGGAGCGAAGGTTGAACTGATGCTTACAGCATAGAAATTTTAACTGGGACAATGTGATTTTCTCAGATAAAAGTTCTGTGTGGCTGTTTCCTAGTACACTGAAATTCTGGACCAAACAAACCGAAAACCCTTTGTATCAGCGCCCAAAGTACAGTTCGAAATTTAACGTGTGGGGTGGCATATATGTGTTAGGGGCAACACCCCTTTGTGTATTTGAAGGGAATATGAACAGTGAGCGGTACACAGATATTCTCGAGGGACATTTACTTCCATCTGCTCACGTGTTCTATGGACATTTTTGGATTTTCCAGCAGGACAACGACCCAAAACATCGTTCAAAGCATTCACAGGCCTGGTTTCGGACATAAAATATGACATTATTAGATTGGCCAAGCTATAGCCCTGACCTAAATCCAAAAGAAAATGTTTGGGGACTTATGAAGGAAAGTGTCAATAAGAAATATCTGACAAATATTGCTGAAATGAAAGAAGAGGTGGTCATATATTAGGACAGCATGGACCACGACTTTCTAACTTTTTTTGATCAGTAGTATGCCCCGCCGCATTGAAGCCTGCATTGCTGCCCATGGTGACTTGACAAAATTCTAACTGTTAATCTGTCTTTGAATCTGGAGTTATGTTCTGCTAATATTCACATTGAATACGTGAGCAATGAGTGAAAATTTAAAAAAAAATTACATTCTTAAATTCTCAATAATTTCTGGTTGTACTGTGTTTGAAAAGCAACCGAAGCTCTGATAAGGGGCTTATTGTATTGTTGTGTAGGTGACAGGTGTCAGGTATGTAACAGGCAATCTACCATCTTGTGTACCATGATAGTGTTTACATACTCACGGGGTTCGAACCCCTGAACCCCCTGGATCCGCCCATGATACTGACGGAGTATGTGCCCTTTCATCTCAGATTCCTCTACGTTCATTTGCAGATGGTCGTTCGGCATTTTGCTGTGGGAAATGACAACATTAGGTAAGTTCATTATACAATCCACATTGCTTTTACTTCGTTTTTCAATTCCATGAGTTGGGTGATATATTGTAAAAGGTGCCAGTGTAAATGTTGAAATTAAACACAGAGCATGCAGTGGAAACAAACCCTGCATCAGACTCAGAGCTGATCAAATCAGCTGTGGTCACCCTAGACAAACACAAGTTCAACTAGAAGTCAAATCCTGGTGCCACATTTGGTGACGTTGTCTTCATTATCGTGAAAAGACGGCATCAAGCCATATTCATTCCCCCTTATTTGGGGCTTAGGTAGGTGGAGTACCGCATTGCACAGCTTGGCCAGTTTCGACTGTCTGCCTAAAAGAGATTACACTGAGCGAAAATGACAAACGTGATGGAAATTGCATGAATTAACCAGGGAAGGTCAGGGTGTCCTCCCAGTTGTGAGACACATTAATGAGTGGTTGAGTGCACCTAGGTGGTGTTTCCACATCCCTACAATGAAAGTGGGAACAACCCTGTTGTTGAAGAATACCCACAGGAGACATGGTTCATTAATGAGATAATTAACACAGAAGACATTATTCGTTAAAGAGCATTTATTGTTCACTTTTTTATTATACTGTCCAGCAATAAATGCCCCTAGACATCAATTTCTTCCACAATAATTCTGTAAACATCCTAATACTGAAAATAATGTTTATCTAATGAAATGTGATTATTCACTATTTTACTCTAAAGTTGCCAAATTGATCAAAACTGGACTTTGTTCAATGTTTTAATATGTATGAAAGATCAGCGATGAGACCAGGTTTTCGCGTATAGAATAAGAATGTCTGACTCTTCCAGTTTATCATCCATCTCTCAATACACAATTTGAATAAGAGTACGTGTTGGTTTATTGACGCACCCAACACAGATCCATGCTGTAAGACGAGAAACTGGGACAATAGGTGAGGTCAACATTTTAAGACCAAGTAAATTATAAAATACAATTGTACCATATCTTGTCAACACAGAATGTTTCTCTAATGTAGGTCTACCACCTTTGTCAGTAAGACGTTACGCATGGATTAAGAAACAATTAGAGATGTCTCTAAATACATGAAGCATCACCACAAATAGCCACAGTAATACTGAGTGATTGTTGTATTCGCGTACTTGTTTACTAAAACTGACTGAAAGGTTGCCTCACAGTCGGTTCCTGTAAGGCTATCAGTGGTTTTTAAGCTTATTGTTTTTGACACTTGTGGGAGTTATCCGTCACCGACAAGTAATCGCATTGTCATGAAGACAGTTGTTGTCCAGATGTATTGCACTGATAAGGCCGCTCCGTGAGTCAAGTGGCTTTGGGGTAGAAGGGGGACCATCTCAAGGGTGACGGCCACATCAATTCTCAGCATAGGAGTGATTTACTCTTCACGATAGCATCTGCAGGAAGGGTTCCAATAAATCCCGTGGACATCGCTAGAATGTTGCGATGATATCGGTAAAGCTTATCGTTGCTCTGCAGGCAGGAAGGCATTAAGCCTGAGCAGTAGTTGTGCCATGATGATCAAGCGATGGTCGTCCTGGCGTCAATTCTTCGGTCAGCCATCTCGACATCGCTACATGGCTTCGCGAGCATGGTGCTAGCTAGCCCCAGGGTCTTGACACCAATCTGGTTATCGCTGTCATAGTAAGACATATATTTGGCCGATTTGCATGAACGTTTTATGTCCTGAGATCCTGTATGGCGACGCTTTCAAATAATTCTACTTTCTTTGTGGAAGCATAAACATTTATGCTCGGAATATGTCGGGATATTTAAGGGTTTGAACGTCAACATTATGGAGTATGTTGTATCAACATTAATGATGATGAATATTTGATCTAGCGTTAGAAAATGATGATGTTTCATTTGATGGCTGTGATCTTCTCCTCAACACTCGGTTTTGTCGCTTTTTGAAAGTGACTCATGGACACCATGTGTGTGTAAAAATCGGATTGGTACAATTACTTCTGCTTTTAGCAATATGGGTGACCAGAGAAAACACTTCCTATGTTATACATTGATGTGTTCTAGGTATTTGAAGAAACTAACAAACAAATGGTAATTTTCACGTAATGTCGAGCAATATTCAAGCTGCTTCGGCCTTTGGTGTCTACATTCAACAACTGTTGATGTATACTCCTGTGGATATCTACTTATCCTACTACTCTTACGCAATGTGAGGTTTGGTCAAGATTACAACATGCAAGACATTGGGGAAGCAATCGAACGTTAAATGGCATGTTGATCTCGAGGATATGTGGTTATATTTCTCTAGTTAAAGCGTCAGTGATCGACATATTGCCCAATGCAATTCCCTGTAATGATGTTCCCCGTGTTTGTTCAGGTGAACATTTGACCTCCCTTTGCATGTGTTTGTACCAAGTACCAAGATTGCAACAGGTGAGGTGAGGTGAAACTGGGTTTAACGTCGTGCTTGAGAATATTTCGCTCATATGACGACGTGCATGCGTGTGTATGTGTATGTGCGGCTGCTTGTGCTAGCCCAGACTGAAGCTGGTTTTATAGTGCTAGCCCACTGAGATACCATGCCGCAGTGAAGCATGAATACCCCACTCAGACACATTATACTGACTCCGAGCCGACCAGTCCTTGTTGTACCCATTAATGCCGAGCGCCAGGCAGGGACCAACGAGTACCATATTTTAACGTCTTTTGGTATGACGCCGTCGGGGATCGAACCCGCGACCTTCCGCTCTCCGGGCGGACGCGCTAACCACTACACCAGGGAGGCAGTAGATTGCAACAGGACACCATTGGAATCTTCACTATTTGATACTAATTCATAGACACAGGCATGTGATAATGGAATGACATTCTTATTTTTATGGAAAGGACTTTGTCGGTATTATACATTATGCTCAAAATAGGAAATAAAACATTTTATAGTGAAATGAATTAGTGTTTGATAAGCCATAAATCTCTTTCTTTCAGGAGCCAACCCGTATCCAGGAATAGCCCCGGAGCGGCTGTTCAGCCTCTTGAGATCCGGCTACCGAATGGATCGTCCAGACGACTGTCCGGAGGAAGTGTAGGTCACATTACTGAACACAGATATGTTGTCCACGTATACAGTTTGATGCAGGCGCCATCAGGGGTTCTATCTTGTTTTTCTCACTTATGCTACTTAATTACCAGTGAGGCGTCACGCTTTTAAACTGCTTTTAACCTGACGCATAATGTGTGCAAGTGCTGTATGACGATACCCCTTCGTAAAATGTTAACAACAGTTACATTGTTGGCAAAACCAGACAGGAAAGATATACTTGAATTGAATTGTGAAGGAATCGTTTACCATTGTGAAGTTAACAAGTCTCCTGTCATGTCGTGGTATATAAGATTTCAGCATTAAGCTCATCCGAGCGGAGATTTCAACTTAGCTAATGGACAAAATGGAGCCTCCTAAAGGGTGTTCTCTGATTTCCTCTTGGCGTTGACGTGTAGAATTAAAAATCGTATACATGTATTATGAGCATATATAAACATGGACACTAATTGTATATATAGACCAGAGAGATCCTCCAGTGGAAATTCCTGATGTACTGAAACAACCTTCCATCATGAAATACATAGGGTGTTACTTTTTTCTAGGTGGTTACATTAAACATATCTGACATTTTAGTTATCGCATAGACTTATTGTCAAATAAACGTTTCATGTCCTAAATGTCATTAGCAGTCCATTGGGTGGCGCAGTGAGCTTAAACGTTCTTGCTTACCAGAAACTGTTATAACAATGTCACTTATACCATTCCTCTCACAACCGCCTCCGTGGTGTAGTGGTTAGAGTGTCCGCCCGGACGGAAGGTCGCGGGTTCGATCCCTGACCGTGTCATACCAAAATACGTTAAAATATGGTACTTGTTGGTCCCTGCCTGGCGCTCGGCATTAATGGGTACAACAAGGACTGGTCGGCTCGGAGTCAGTATAATGTGTCTGAGTGGGGTATTCATGCTTCACTGCGGCATGGTATCTCAGTGGGCTAGCACTATAAAACCAGCTTCAGTCTGGGCTAGTACAAGCAGCCGCACATACACATACACATGCACGTCGTCATATGAGCGAAATATTTTCAAGTACGACGTTAACCTCTCACAACAGGGCACAAAATACAACAAACAGGCTATCTGGGGAATTACCGAGCCATAATGGTCACTTCGCATTAATTTGTCATTACTGCTATAAGTGTACATAATTACATCTGCCCGATTTGATGACGATACATGTAGGTTTTTACATCATTTTTATGATATGGTATCTTGACTTTGAAGTGTTAACATATCTTCAGCTTTAATTTAACTTCAAGAGTTCCGATTTAATGTGAATGAAAACCGCCTTTCTAAATTTTATGTAAATATTTATCGCCTCAGCTGAGTCATTTACGATTAACCTCCGGAGTATGTGTTATGTGAAACGCTGTTACGAATTAACATATAACCGAAACTGACTTTATGTGAGGGGTAATGACGTACTTAAATCATGTTTATGAACGATAAGAAAGTGGAATGTTCCCTGCGTTATCAAGCTATTAATAAACGTAATAACGTGAAATCTTCAAAAGTTTACAACTGAACTCATTATGTATGTTTCGGGGTTTATATCTGATTATTACAGATGTCTGAAACATACATACATTGTCCCAGGATATTTTGTCAAGAATACCAGACTGGTTTCTGTAGCATAATGCACCCTGATAATAACCTCCATGGAAACCTATGTTCAAGAAGCGTTTGGTGCATGTCATTGTGCTTGTCAAGCAATTAATGTTTACCGACATGCATAAAGCTTCAGTAACGCTAAAGTTATCGCCACCGACACATTTTATCACAAGAATTTTAATAGTATTCGTCAGAGCGCAAATAACGCGGACTGGATTGACAGCAGTTTCTACAATACACGTTTTGTATACTTGGTTATACATTTCATACCTGCAAATCGCGTTATATGAATGGCTATGAGTTTAAAGTGGTGCAACTCTACCAAGAAGGTGCTAAAGAAACGTCGTATACTTAGTGAGTGAGTTTAGTTTTACGACGCACTCAGCAATATTCCAGCTATTCGGCGGCGGTCTGTAAATAATCGAGTCCGGACAAGACAATCCAGTGATCAACAGCATGAGCTGCACAATTGGGAACCGATGACATGTGTCAGCCAAGCCACCGAGCCTGACCACCCGATCCCCTTAGTCGCCTGCTACTACGTCGTATACTTATACTTATGACTAAGAATATGTTTCATGAAAAACTTTGAACCGTTGCAGGTCCTTGAGTGGGATGGTTAAATGTACATGTCGGCATTACTAGATATTTTCGATTTGCCAACTTTCTCCATTAGCTGCATCGAAACAAGTATATAATGTAACGCAAGAAACTAACCCGATCAACTTTCGATCAACCCCTTTCTGATTTCCTTGTGACAGAAGAAAATACCAAAGAATGATCTACGTTCGAGCGTGAAAGTTTTATACCATTAATAAACCTGGAAGGCCCCTGGGGAGTTGCTGTCTTGATGAGACTGTTTGAAGTTGGAATTGGAACCTGCATATCTATATCCTGATAATAGACTAAACACAACTATACTCGGGAATGGGTTTCCAAGCATGTAACACAGTGCTATTTTATACAAACATATACTTACACGGTTGTTTACAAGACCACACATGTGGTCAGTTGGAAATATCTTGTGTATCAATATCCCCAAGAGTGTTGTTGAGAAAGCATATGTTTCTCTTTAATGTTCTCGCCTCTTCGTCTTCTTCAATGCAGTCTTGTTGATACCCTGAAGCCTCGGCGTCCAATGCTAATCTTCACTTGTGTATTCCTAGATAAATGTGTTCTCCATCTTTAAGATAACATTCGTAAACTGTGAAATCCAGACTCAGTGTAAATATTTGGTGGACATCCTGCAAGGTGGACATTTTATACTACTCAACAGTATTAGAGATTAGTCATCAGTTTGTTGTATCACGCATTAGCAACATCCCTAGCTCACTTGAGTAGTGTAAACACGTATTTTAATCTAGAGATTGTGAGTTATTCTTTCTTATTTACATATTTATTGTTAATCTACCTAAAAAAATATGAACACTATCAAAGGCATCGCCATACAGCCTGAGAAATAGGGATAGGCTTCAAACAAATTCCCAATACAGCGATGGCGATTGACGAAGTGTGATTGTGTCGTATACGTTTTTTCAATTTCCATTTGCTTCACTTGAATTCACTCAAGGGATGAAATGAATTCAAGTCTAATTTGAAATAAAGTTGCACAGTCGTCGTGTCTGTTTAATTTATCACTAAGATCAGAAGCGGCCCCAAAAATGACTCAATTTTCCCTCTGCACGGCTAATAAATAAACATGCAACAAAATATGTATTCATAGCGATGGTCCCGATAAAATTGGTTTGACCTCTTTCTGGCGCTAATTCACGGTAACAAAGGTCTTTGCTGTTCAGTAATGTTACATAAAATAGATGAAAAATACGTAAAACAGTATATGCATAATAATGTAGTCACCATTTTCTATCGATATCAAGCGTTACTTCCTGAAGTGTATCCCGGTATATTCATACCCAATTCACTGCAACACAAATAATACAACATGAAGTGAGTATTTAACCTACAGTCACACTTGTAAAACTATTATCGATGCATCGATTGGAGTATGGCATATTGATTCATCACAATATCACCTTTGCATATGCATGTTCACATTGTTGCATATACGCACACATACACACAACATACCTTTAAGAAATAAATATATGCATACAAACGTGAATCCTCCATGTTCCTGTATAACCACACCCCAACACCACCTACGTGAGCATGTGGTGACAAGACTTTAGTTACCTAGCAATGTGGCTACAATTGTACAGGCTTCGGGCAAAACAGTGGCATTTGTCGCATTTTCTTCTCAAAACACTTTCACATGCACTGGGAACAGTGCACACATTTACTGCAGACAATTGGTTTTTATCTTCCCATCCATGGATCCATGCGTCGATAATGTAGATTAACTAAAATACCGATTCCAGGTATGCCATTATGCAGAAGTGTTGGAAGGCAGAACCCGAAGACAGGCCAACATTCCACAAATTGGCAGACATCCTTGATACCATGTTGCAACAAAGGGAGGTAAGTGGACAAAGGGGAGGTAATCCAAATAGGGATCACTGTTCTGAAGTCTTTTCATTGTGATCTACTTTGAAATTGTGCCAGTTTATTATTTTTATATGAAATATATTTCAACTGCATCTCAACCATGTATTTATGAGGTACTATCACACAGTGATGGTGTTAAGTGTTCGCCAATAGGTGAACTTGTCCCACCACACAGGAGACACAGGAGACACAAATATAAGATTGCAAAATATTTGTGAATTCACATTTTATGCATTCCACTTGGCTCAAATATATAGAAAGTCGTTCTGTGATTGTATTACGGATTATCGGTCATGTTTGAAGGGCTTGGTGTATTCATTGTGTTACCCAATGTGTATCTTACTTAATGCCTGTTATAATAGTCCCATATTTCAGATAGGTTGCAGCTTTTGTTAAATTCATACTGTATTTTCTGTTGAAGGGCTACCTCGATCTGACCGACGATACGGCATATATGGAAGACAGATTAAATTATTTAGGTCAGTGATTATTGGGTGAAGAAATCATTTCGGAGTTTATGAAACTAGTGAAATCGGTTCAATAGATTTCAATCAATGATGTCCGATTGATCCTATAATGTAGCCACTAGTTTCTTAATTCATGTTTTATCGGGGGTGGAAGGTTGTCGTGGTAGCGGAAACGTCCTCGTACTAATCGGGTTTGAATCTCGATGTTCGACGTATGTGTTTCTAATGATGATAGTACTTTTACTTGTACCGAATCTATGAATTACTGAATCTACCGAATTGAGAAATCCACCTGGAAAGATAAAAATATATTGCTATTCGTAAGTCACCATTGTTTCAAGAATCAAAAATAGCATTGACAGATATACTATTCTTACTGTGCTCTGTAGATGCAGGCATGCTATGAAACAAGGCGCACTATCATTGTCATGTATTCGGCAGACAGTACCGACTGGCGTGGTGAATGGAGCGACTACGAGGAGGGATACGGTAGCATAACCGTCCTGAGACAAACGGGGGACAACTACCTGACGGCCATGTCTTGTGGGGAGGGGGAGACTGATGCTGGAGAGGAGGGCAAGTTACTTCCACCATCACCTAAGGATAAAGACATTCTCAAGCATGTGGACAACAAGAACGTGTCAAACACTAACCGTGAGGAAGATATTTGGCTTTTGAAAAACTCGAAGCCGGACGTGAACAAGGGGAAGCGCTGGAGGGACAATGCCTATGAAATCCACTGTGTCTGAAGTTTACTGTAAATGCATTCGTGATGGATATGTTACTTGCCTGATGAGGAGGCTGCCATGTGACAATATGATAACGTATGAGTATTCTCTACTTACACTGATTTGGTCACTGCCAACCATGGGTAACGCATAATATTGGCGAATACGTGACCGTACGATACCCCAAATCAATACTTGCACATGTGAGTACTATATTTATATGAAAATCCTAATGACTATATATTTAAAGTTTTGGTGACTCGAATGAAGACATGTGTTTACTATACTTATGTTCCAAACATTGTGGTGCTCTAGTCTTGTAGAAGAGGAAAAGAGTCATTCGATTTCACGGAGTCAATGAGCCCCTGTGCTGTCATATGGACTGCGGCCTGTAAGTAAGTAAAGGGAGGTTATTGTTGATGTGAACAGGGTACCCGGTATAAGTAGTGCTGTGCTTATTCGCCAGGTGGCATAACCGCACTATACGAGAATGACTTGAAAGGACGTAGATGGCACCCAGTTTGCATTTAGCGTCATCAAATGTTTCTGCAACCTTGACACAGTGGAACCTTCACACCGTGAGAAGTGATTACTATGGATTTCACGGGTTGAACGCCCAACAAACAATTAATAATTTAATTGTCACATCTGTAAACGTTCGGTGGTGTTCACGAATACCGACTCATGTGGAAGTACAGGTATCGGAGAATACATTAATCTTGTCCCAGCAGGCCAAGCTAATAAATATATTGATTAGTGATATTGATTAGTGTTTCAGTGTAGCTCAGAGATTACTCCGAACTACCGTCGTGCATATTCAAATACATGTATAATTGCTGATATTGAACACAGTCGATTTTGCAGCTGCTTCTTCTGGATAAACTTTATCATTATATTTTGGAAATGTAATCATGTGAGACAACTTTTGAAATAACTTTTTTCCGTTATGGAACTAGATGACATGCAACATTGAAACACTACACCGGTTTACATTTCGAAATATTGAATTGAAATTAGCCAACATCACCGTTCAATATGGGACGTTCCTCTCCGTTAATTCCTAGCACGGCGAAATGATTAACCATCATGTTTAAATATAGATTTCCAGGTGCCATGTTACAAGACCCCAGTCAGAAGTAAAGTGTGTGGTATTAGATATCTCAATATACATATCTAGGATACATTTGATAATATACAGTTGTCTAGGATGGTTTATCGTGATTATAATACCATGCCTTTATCCACATTGTCAATCGAATACCAAACACATCCAGTTAAAGGGGAGTTCATGAAAAGCCCTTGTTTTATCCAATGCTTACTTGTACCCTATGTCCTCCTGGTTACTGTACAGGCGGTTGTTTATTGTCCTTGTTGTTTGTTATGTCTATTTCAGATGTATAATTCACATGTTTCATAACAATGTAATACTATAAAAGAGTCTGGTTTTCAAGTATTCTATTTCGGCCGTGAGGAGTGTTGGCCATGACATGTTGGGGATACTGTTCACCATGATTGGTCCATTACTGTAGCCACCACTGCCACTCCTGGCATACTGTCTGTGACACCTAGCTTTAAACTGCCTATAAGTTATATTTAATAGACACTACTGTTTGGCAGTCATAGGATCAGTGATCATCAGCGGATCAATAGATCTGCTGAACTGTTGCAGGAAGGTATAATCATCAGAAGTGAAAATTGCATCTTGCATCCGCGGTGAAGTTATATTTCAACAGTGATGAGAGTAACTGTTTAATCAATATAGGTTTATCAAAAGCAACACATTGTCTGGTTATACATATTAACGGTCAGTCTGACCGTTACGTTAAATTGAACCGAAAGAGCACAAGTATCATTCATTTAACCATAGTCAAGATGTGACATGCTGTCAAGTACGTCAGTGACACTCTATGTCAAGTCATTCTTGTTGTTGGAGTTCCGTATTTGTGGATGTTCAATAATACTTGCGGATCCGACACAGGGCATGCGTACAGGTCCAGCACAGTTGACACCAACATGATACGGACTATACTTGCGGGTCCAACCCAGGTGATGTTATAACTATATCAGATAATACGCATTGTTACACAAGGTGATCTTAACGCTATGTCAGAGATAGGTAGTTCAAATATTTATATGGCAGCCACAGGTAGAGCTCACAGTCACTTGTATCATTACTCCTGAATCCAACATTCATGTAGATAGCCGTTACCTTTTCACCGGTCTGGTGAGAGTCCAACAAACCAAAGCCCATCAGCTTCAGTGACAACTACAGGTGGCGATTTTCGTTCTCACAAAACAAATATGAATTAATTGTTTATCTAAAGAGACAGTGTACAAAATTATAAAACACACATGACAAAGCCTTAAACATATAGTCAAAAATAAATGCATTTGTTATGCAAATGTTACCCATCTAATATACAATAGACACAGAAGAACATAGAATAGAACACCTGGTGTTATACAGGAGCAGGCCAGGCTATGGTTTGGGCCTTTGTGTTGAGTTCACTATTCATATATAACATTTACTGGTCATAGGAAGATGATTTCCATGTAAGAATCGTAAAGTTAGGTTCGAAGTTACCACTGTTATTTACATATACATAATGTTCAACGATATCTGAAAGGTCCCATTAGTTGGCAGATTGAGATGATAGGTTAGAAGATCATCAAATGACTGTTCAACTGTCAAAACGCACAGAATCAGGGTCTGAACTGTGAAAACGTCTCTCAGAAGACGTACTTTGTAACATTACTGTAATCCTAGGATATGTGACACAAAGGGTTTGGCGGTAGGTTCCACTGAAAGACAGTGACAATGTCCGTATTTTTTCTATGTTTAATATTTCCTTTAGTTCAGATTTCCCAAATTTAGTTAATGAACAGTTAATGTCATTGTGAGGCGTAGGCTGTCAACCAACAGGTTTCAAATACAGGTATCAACGGTATCCAAGGGTTGTGCACTCACAATGTGGAAACTTGTAAGACTGTATTTGTACATTCCAAATAAATATCATTCTAAGGTGCAGTATTCAATTGCATTATTCATATGGGCCAGCTGGAAATACCACCATGGAGGCATGGTTTCTGAATGACAGAGAATCGTGGCCTTTATCAAAGGAGCTCCGCAACTAGGGATGTTCAGGTTTTCAGGTTTACCACTACCCCAGTCAGGAGCATTTGGAAGCTGTAAGACGTGGAATTACGGTATTTCCGGGAAAGTGACGACAGTTTTATTAATGACGTCAGAACTTGACAACATGATTTCATCCTAAGAATCGGCCAACTCAAGAGTAGGGTATCCTTTTCGTCATTCACCCTGTTAAAATTATGTGTGATATTTTGGACGATCGGTCTCTATTGAATGAAATCTGTACCGAGCCAATGGCTAGCAACTTACACTTTTCATCGTGTGAATCTGACACCGGCACATCTCTTAGCAGTAATTCACTGACCGATGCCAAACACATGAAACAAGGGCACAACCAATTGTGCGAGTAAGTTAGATGAGTACATTCTAAGTCACAATCAAGCAACGCTTATGACCTGACATGAGCGCTGCTTCTGTTGAGAAAACATTTAATCATTATTATGTATTTGACACAGACGTCGCCCTGTCGGATTGTTTCAGGGCTGCGTGATCACAATATATACACAAGGCTAGCTCGGGAGCGCCACAGTAATTTGTAACAATTTCCCTGTCTGCCAGTATACTCAAACTGACACACATACCGAGTAACACTTCTGATGCGTCGTCGACAACAGTCAAAATATCATGGTGCCATGTTTGATGTGTTTGATATGCTTCAGATGACGACGTTTGACCGTTTAGCGAAGCTGGCAACGCAGAAGGAACAACTTACATGATTAAAATCAGAGCAGATTAGGATTTGGACTCTGGATTCAGGAAACTGCCACGTCAAATTAAGGCCCAAGGTAGATGCCCCACATCACTGGACCTCCCCTGTCCGCTTTGCTATACTGCTTTGCCCCGTTCTGGCAATCATATTACTCACCAATAATTATTGTACTAATGAGTGAACCTCAGCTATAATTGAGACTTGATCGTCTTTCTAGGAAACCTGAGACAACTTTAAGGATACATTTGTTTTAATAATGCACCATCCACAATCAAAGTGATATTTGACATGTTACGTTTTCCAGCTCGAAGAAACTACATTTCAAGACCCATGCGTGGGGCTTTAAGTATAGAGAAACATATTGACTGTGACATCCAATCATGAAGCGAATTCTTCAAGTCATTCATTTACATAAAGTGTCGTAAGAACGAGTGATTACTGTCACACATCTCCCCCTTGAGTAAAGGTGATGTTTTGTCTTAAAAGGGACCAAATACAGTAGTTGTATGTGAGACCTGTTCTGGTGCAGTCTTTGTTCTGTGATTGGACACGCTGCGTGTTTTGATGCAGTAAACACATAACAAAATACATATATTTCAATCATTTAGTAATTATGTATTATTACACCTTTACAGCCATCAAGGAAGGAAACGGCTGCTACTTTGAAACTGAAGTGCACGCTGCAATGCCACACTTTGAATCTCCGCGATCCAATAACTTGAGTTCAGACTGCGCACCTTTCTGGCAATTCTGATTCTCCATGTATATGAATCAGAATTCCTGCACGGATTTGAGAATCACAAAACAAGGGAATTTTAACGTCTCCTTCAGGTGTATTGAGGATAGGTTCGATTCACTAACTGTGAAATAGCCACTTCCCTTCGACAAAACCAGAAATAGGTGAGGCCAGCGGAACCAGCTCATCTGGTTCAGAAATATGAAGAATGTGAGAAGTGTGATCGAAATCTGTCCTTGAGACTGGATAGCAAGAGGCATGGCTTATCATCAGGTTCGTATCTTGTTCCTTGATGTCGAGCAATATTCCAGACTTCAGCCTCTACAAGTTTTGTGGTACTCTCGACCATGCACCATACAAGTCTTAATCAGAAATTGTTTCATCAAGGTTTGAACACCCAAGGCCTCAGCGAAGTTTTCAAAAGTTTTATGGCAGATACGTAGAGGACAATTTTTGACACTTTTAACGTTCCATACATTCCAGTATGAGCGGCTGTGTTGTCAATGGATGTGGTTTTGCGTAGGGTGCTACCGTATGTCAGAGGGACTGTTACTGAGTACTGCTCCCTCATATTTGACCATATTATGCATTTTATGATTGCAAACCTTATGCTGTCTGTTTCAATGTATTTTTATAGTTATTCACTGATCTTGTTGGGTAATCTTTTGACTGCATAATTTAGTTTTAGTGTGGGAATCAACACGTAACAAAATGTTTATGCAACATACAATTGTGCACACTGATGCCTGGTAAACCAATGGCTTAATTATCACTGAGTCTAAATAATATCAAACAGTCTGAAATTCATTGTTTGCTCGCAAGGACCAATAAAAGTTATTACTCAACCGTATTTAACAGTACCATTCCTGTTAAGGCTAATGTTGTTACCATGGGAGTAATATGATACAAACTACACTCCAGATTCTAGTTTTAGATGAAATACATTGCATGGAGTATCCGAGGGTTGGCCCGGACTCGATTCTTTCAACGTCAGCAATATTGACTTCAGCTCCAATAAATGTTCCGAAATTTAATGTTGAACAGAGGTAAATCTATAAACACAATCGATACGAAGGTCTTCCCATTCCAAACAGTATTATTTAATTGTGTTGCCAACCAGCTGAAGAATGAAGTACAGTAAATGTACGTGGATCAATATTGGGGATCATCAGTGTGGTTACACTTGCTTTATGTGGTAATTGTTGGAACAGTACAGTAACCTGCTGTAATTGCCAGCATGTACATGGCACTGGCGTGTCCGTATCTTGTAGCGTCCAGTTATCATCTCCTTAAACACGTCTCAGAGATTTCACAGATTCATGTGGGCATGTGTTTGATACAACTATGTATTTTACAAGATTACATTCTTACACACAATTACATATGACGCACATTGTTCGTTCCACGGGAAGTTGGTGAATACAACTGATGGTCTAAAAACATTGGTGGGGAAGCCTTGAAACAGTTCACTAGATGGGTCGATATGATAGGCTACCGGGATTTCCGTATTTAAGCCCTGGGCTTATAACGGAAAATGACCCCTCTCGTTAACAAATATAAACCCCATAATTAACCCTTAAATTCGGGAAATGCTTGTAACTGAAGAAAATGATTCTAAGACACAGTAAAATGGAATGAACTTTAATACTGATATTATCATATTATTTTGCGCCTGCGTGTGAGTCATATGCATTGAGATTGTCTATTTGAGTATAGAGTACCTGACCTCTCTTGGGACTTCAAAACGTTCTGTACACCTCTTACTGCACTACAAACGTTATATATGCTGACGTTCGCCATGTGCATTTGCAAAGGGAAGCCACTCTAAACAATAAATTTGGAAATCTTAATTTA